GCCGTGGGGGGGGGGGGGTGATCACTCTCCTCTCTGCAGCAAGGCAGAGTCCAGGGCAGCTGGGGCTCTAGGCAGGTAGGGAGCCCCCCAGGCTGGGGTGCAGTTCTACCGAGGGCTCCTGAGAGCGTCCTGAGGCTCAGCAGCTGGGCCCTGGCAGCCCGTTTTGCACATCTGAACACTCAGCCTCTGCTGCTGCCCCCTCGGAGCCTCGCTCAGCCTGGGCAGGCACCTGGTGCTTGAAACGTCTGTTCCACCCCCTCCCCGTCTGGTCCGCACTGGCTCTTCATGGCTCTTACGCGCCGCTGTCTCCACCCCCCGCGCAGAATCTCGGCTGCACTCTCCTGGTCACTACAAAATACCGGGCCTGTTTCCTGCGCAGCACGGGTGAGCCACGTCCCCCCAGCCAGGCCAAGCCGGGGCCCGGCAGAGGGAGGGGCTGTAGGCCAGAAGGGTTAGCTGGACGAGGCCAGCGGAGCGGAGTAGGTGCTCAGGCTTGCAGAGGGCGCCAGGACGCCGGGCCTGGGCCGCAGGAGAGACCGGGCCGGCTGCGATGTTGGCTCTAGGTCTGTGTTTAGATTCCAAATAAATGCGCGAGTTTGGGGTTGTTTGGCTCTGGCCCATTGTCTACAACCTCTGGGCCATTTGGAAACCATGCCCTTGAGTCACAGCCCAGCATTATATCTGCTGTGCTGGCGGTGGGACACAGATCTAATTCGGACGTGTCTGCGTGGGGACACTCAGAAACGTGAATCCGAATTAATGTGGTGGTTTAATTAACTGCATTAACTCTACATAAGAGGCTCGCAGAAGGGCTTAAAGTTACCGTAATTCACTTCCAAAGTGAACGCTGAATAACAGCATCCACACTGGGCTTTAGTGAGATTTCACTAACGTACTTCCAATTCACTTTTCATTTGTTCACATCAGTGTTCCTGAGTGACCCCAGCTTTTCTAGCAGCGTCCCTCGCGTCTCTGCCCTGCGTGTCTCAGGCCGGCGGTTCCTCCTACCTTGACATGTCTGTCATCTGCAGTCGTCTCCTCAAACTCCTCCTCGAGCTTGAAGCTGATCTCTGTGCTCTTGAAGGTGCTCTGGGTCTTCACGGTGACCGTGTCGCCCTCCAGCTCGATGATGGTGGTGGGCTTGGTCAGGTTTGCGATCTGCCTCGTGGCGAAGCCCACGCCTGAGGGGCAAACACGACCAGCCAGCCCTGAGTGGGGGCTGCAGGGGGCGGCTTGGGGCCACCCGTGGGGTAGGGGCAGCAGGCTCAGGGACCTCCTGTGGGGTGCTCGGCAGCAGGCCCAGGGCCCACCCACAATGCAGTGGGGGAACGGCGGAACTGACACCAGCCCAGACCTTTCTGCATTTCACTGCCTGCCTGGTCACTGCTGGGGCCTTCCCGCTGCCTCTTCACACTGCACCCGGGGTAGCTGGCTAATGAGAGCCCCCAGGGTACGTCGGCCTGATTCCCCATCGCCAACGGGGTGACTCCCCCCACACACTGGGGGGCAGAGGCAAACACTTCCTGTCTGTGTGAGCTCCCCGCGGGCTCCGGCGGGGCTTGTCCGTGGGCCCCTGCGGCAGGCAGGCTCCAGGGAAGGTCTGATGCACCACAAAGCCAGGCTCAGGTACATGCAGGGACAAAAGTGCCCCCTTGCGCCCAGGTGCTTTGCTGAAGCAGGGCAGCTGTGCTGGGTTCACCCTCCCCCGGCTTCCATGTTCCTGCTGCCTTCTCCCCACCCTACTCCCAGCTGCTGTCCCTGGGACACCCCTGCTGGTTTCATCGGGGCTGTAGCAGTGCAGACTTTGGCCCGGCATCCGCTAGTTCCTCACTCAGCTACCTGGCAGCTGCCCCCACCGTGTGACTGGCGCTTTCAACGCCGCCGCAGCCAGGCTACATCTACACGGCAGGCTTCTTGCGCAAGGACCGTTTTGCGGAAGAGACCTTGCACAAGAGAGTGTGCACACCTCAAAAGCACATTGGGAAAGTGATGCGCTTTTGTGCAAGAGAGCGCCCACACGGCATGGATGCTCTCATGCAAGAAAGCTCTGATTGCCATTCGCAGAATGGCCACCAGGGCACCTGAGCTTTTTCCGATAGGCTGTTTTTGCACAAGAAACCGCTGTTGCCCGTCCACACATGCCTTTTACGCAAGAGCTCTTGTGCAAAAAGGCTTATTCCTTGTAGAAAAAGGAATAACTCTTGTGCAAAAAGCCCTGTCTTCTGACCATGTACTGTAAATGTTCTTACACAAACTGGGATCCCAGTGGCTCCAGTCGGACCGACGACCAGGCCATTAAAAGTCTGCCGAGTGGCGCAGCAGGGGCTGGGGCTAAGGCAGGTTCCCTCCCTCCCAGAAGCAGATACCAGGTCCCTATGCACAGGAAGGCTCTGCATGCAGCCCCCGCCCTAGTGCCGGCTCCACAGCTCCCATTGGCAGGGACCTGCAGCCAATGGGAGCTGCAAGGGTGGCCGCTGCAGGCACAAGGGCAGCACATGGAGCCTTCCTGCCCAGCTTGGAGCTGCCATTCTGCACCCCAACACCCTCATCCCTGCCCCAGCCCCAGGGTGTGTGTGTACAGGAGTGTGCATGTGTGTGTACTGGTGTGTGTGTGTGTGTGTGTGTGTCTGTGTACAGGGGAGTGTTTGTATTCAGGAAAAGGGTGTGTGTTCAGGGGTGGCATGTGTGTATGTACAGGAGAGATGTGTGTACAGGGATGTGTGTGTACCAGGGTGGTGTGTGTGTGTACAGGGGTGTGTGTGTGTACAGAGGTGTGTATGAGCAGGAGTGGTGTGTGTGTGTGTACAGGGGTGTGTATGAGCAGGAGTGGTGTGTGTGTGTGTACAGGGGTGTGTATGAGCAGGAGTGGTGTGTGTGTGTGTACAGGGGTGTGTATGAGCAGGAGTGGTGTGTGTGTGTGTACAGGGGTGTGTATGAGCAGGAGTGGTGTGTGTGTGTGTACAGGGGTGTGTATGAGCAGGAGTGGTGTATGTGTGTGTGTGTGTGTGTACAGGGGTATGTATGAACAGGAGTGGTGTCTGTGTGTACAGGGGGGTGTATGAGCAGGAGTGGTGTATGTGTGTGTGTGTGTGTGTACAGGGGTATGTATGAACAGGAGTGGTGTCTGTGTGTACAGGGGGGTGTATGAGCAGGAGTGGTGTATGTGTGTGTGTGTGTGTGTACAGGGGTATGTATGAACAGGAGTGGTGTCTGTGTGTACAGGGGGGTGTATGAGCAGGAGTGGTGTATGTGTGTGTGTGTGTGTGTACAGGGGTATGTATGAACAGGAGTGGTGTCTGTGTGTACAGGGGGGTGTATGAGCAGGAGTGGTGTATGTGTGTGTGTGTGTGTGTACAGGGGTATGTATGAACAGGAGTGGTGTCTGTGTGTACAGGGGGGTGTATGAGCAGGAGTGGTGTATGTGTGTGTGTGTGTGTGTACAGGGGTATGTATGAACAGGAGTGGTGTCTGTGTGTACAGGGGGGTGTATGAGCAGGAGTGGTGTATGTGTGTGTGTGTGTGTGTACAGGGGTATGTATGAACAGGAGTGGTGTCTGTGTGTACAGGGGGGTGTATGAGCAGGAGTGGTGTATGTGTGTGTGTGTGTGTGTACAGGGGTATGTATGAACAGGAGTGGTGTCTGTGTGTACAGGGGTGTGTATGAACAGGAGTGGTGTGTGTGTGTGCAGAGGTGTGTATGAACAGAAGTGGTGTGTGTGTACAGGGGTGTGTATGAACAGGAGTGGTGTGTGTGTGTGTACAGGGGTGTGTATGAGCAGGAGTGGTATGTGTGTGTGTACAGGGGTGTGTATGAGCAGGAGTGGTGTGTGTGTACGTACAGGGGTGTGTATGAACAGGAGTGGTGTGTGTGTGTGTACAGGGGTGTGTATGAGCAGGAGTGGTATGTGTGTGTGTACAGGGGTGTGTATGAGCAGGAGTGGTATGTGTGTGTGTACAGGGGTGTGTATGAGCAGGAGTGGTATGTGTGTGTGTACAGGGGTGTGTATGAGCAGGAGTGGTATGTGTGTGTGTACAGGGGTGTGTATGAGCAGGAGTGGTATGTGTGTGTGTACAGGGGTGTGTATGAGCAGGAGTGGTGTGTGTGTACGTACAGGGGTGTGTATGAACAGGAGTGGTGTGTGTGTGTGCAGAGGTGTGTATGAACAGAAGTGGTGTGTGTGTACAGGGGTGTGTATGAGCAGGAGTGGTATGTGTGTGTGTACAGGGGTGTGTATGAGCAGGAGTGGTATGTGTGTGTGTACAGGGGTGTGTATGAGCAGGAGTGGTATGTGTGTGTGTACAGGGGTGTGTATGAGCAGGAGTGGTATGTGTGTGTGTACAGGGGTGTGTATGAGCAGGAGTGGTTGTGTGTGTGTGTATAGGGGTGTGAATGAACAGGAGTGGTGTGTGTGTGTATAGGGGTGTGAATGCGCAGGAGTGGTGTGTGTGTGTACAGGGGTAGCGGCTTCCAAGGTGCCTAGCAATAAGGCTGATGAGAGGATCCTGCTGGCAAAAGCCCTGAAAAGTGCTGGATCCGATCGGGGCCCACAGAGCAAACAGGTCAGTCCAACGGCGGGGGGCTGTGG